AGAGCCCTATTCTAAACAAACCCTCCTAGGAGGCGTAGAAGTGTTTTGGTTGGCTCTAGGGCTGTAGGGCTTCTAGGAGAAGCCCTAAACCCTAAACTCTCCACTGTAACTCCTACATGAACAAAAAATCCTCAAAGCTTTCTGGATTATGATTTCCGGGGCTCGGAGAGGCCGTGAACTGTCGACTGCTAAAGCCAAGGGCTCCAAGCTGTCTCCGAGATCGCTGGGTGTATGGTTTAGGGGCCACGATCCTCTGCAAATGCGCGAGCCATCTTCACACAGCAGTCGCTTAACACCAAGGCAGAGACAAAGAGGGCTGGCAGGGCATGATTTTTTTTTTCTGGGAATTTTTGCCTATTGCTTTCGGGGTTCAGTCCTTCTTGTTTAGCATGGTTTTATCGGGTTTCCCACATCGTGAATATTGCACCATGGCGGGCTTTCTCGGCCGCCGGGTGTCGCACCAGGCAGGACCTCTGACAGGAGATTTTGGGGTCTAGGGGTAAGGGCTTGGCGGGGGCGGGGGGGGGGGGGCGTTCGTAGTCTATAGCACAACTATATGGGGACAGGGAGTCGGAGTAATTCCAAGTTTTTCCCGAAACCCTGAAGGCGTGGGCTGTGTAAGGGGTTTTCAGGTTTGAAGGATTCGTGGTTGAGGGATGCGGGGTAAACCCTCGGCCGCAACCCTGAAAGTGTGAACCCAAGCCTCTAAGCCGTAATCACTACGGCAGGGTCGAAACTGCCTTTAGATAGCCGTTGCTGGTGCTTTCGGCACAGCCCCAGCCCGAAACCGTAATCTTGCGCATCGCCGTGCCCACATGCCTCGTAGGCGGGGCGGAATTGCTCCCAAGAGTAGCAAGTATTCTAGAATATACTCCCATACTCCGAGCTAATCATGAAGGTCCGTGTCATAAAACCTACAACCCCGAAAGAAATCTCGAAAGCAGCGCTAAAGCAACTCCAAAACACTGGACTCTAAACCCTCTTCCCGCGATCTCTAGTAAAGACCTCACACTTGTCCGGACCGCGAATCCTGGAGCTGAGCTCTGTGACTTCCGCAAGCAGTACACATCAGAAACAAGAGACCACGAACTACATGGTGGAATCGCACCCTAAACCCTAAACCACCTTACGTTCGGAAAGGGAAGGACACGAGTCAACAGGCAGGAGCACGAGTCAGAGAAGGAAATGCAGCATGCAGGTAAAAGGACAGGGGCGGTTTAGGGTTTCGGGATTAGGGTTTAGGGTTTAGGGCTTAGGGTTTAGGGTTCAGGGATTAGGGTGCAGGTAAAAGGAGAGACCAAGGGGCACGAAAGCCAGCTTCCTGTCTGGCTCAGAGATGGCAACAATCCACTGTGGGGAGCTCTGGGTTCAGGTTACGCAGATAATGTTTGAACCATCAGCTAAGGCTCTAAACCTGACGCCCGGAGCC